CTGCTTTCCATTTATATACCTCAATCATATTCCCCTTAATTCTAGAGAGTGCAGATTCAGGGCCCTCAGTCTATCCTCATAGGGAAGATTTCTGATACATGGGATCATCTTTGTCATCCTCCTCTGTACGTTTTCCAGAGCAATTATATCCATTCTGTAATACGGTGACCAGAACTGAGCAGCATAGTCTAAATGAGGCCTAACCAAGGATATATAGAGTTGAAGATCAACCTGAGGACTTCTATTATTTATACTTCTTGATATGAAGCCAAGGATTCTGTTAGCTTTTTTGCGAACACTAATGCACTGTTGTCTTGGTTTTAGATTACTGCTAACCAGAACTCGCAATCAGTAATATTAAGATCTACATTATTTAGTTTATAAGTGGTAAGGTTATTGTCCTGTCCAACATTTAGCACTTTGCATTTGTCAATATTAAACTGCATCTGCCACTTCTCCGACCATTGCATCAGTCTATTCAAATCATCCTGGAGTGCTCTAATGTCCTCAATAGAATGAATTGAACGGCCTATTTTGGTGTCATCAGCAAATTTGCTTATGTCGCTATTTTTTCCCTCATCTATATCGTTTATGTAAATTGTGAACAACAACGGGCCAAACACTGACCCCTGTGGAACACCGCTTGTGACGTGCCCCCATTCTGATTTCTCCCCATTTATGCAAACTCTTTTCTGTCTATTTATCAGCCATGCCTCTACCCAGGAAAAAATTTCTCCTCCTATTCCGTGTGCCTTAAGTTTCCTCAAAAGTCTCTGATGTGGAACTCTATCGAAAGCCTTACTAAAGTCCATAGACACATTATCATATTTATTACCATGATCTACCTCCTCAAACACCTTAGCGAAAAAAGTTAGTAAATTCGTAAGACAGGAACGCCCCTTATTAAAACCGTGTTGAGATTCATTAATCAATCTGTGCCTCTCAAGATGGCTACGAATTACCTCGGCAATTATTGATTCCATTAATTTTCCCACTATGGAGGTAAGGCTTATTGGTCTTTAGTTCGAAGCTAAGGACCTGTCACCTGCCTTGTAAATAGATATTGCAATTGCCATTTTCCACTTATCAGACACTATGCCAGTTTGTAGTGATATGTTAAAAAGATTAGCCAAAGGTATGCTAAGTTCCTCTTTACATTCCTTTAACACCCTTGCAAACAGTTCATCAGGGCCTGGGGATTTGTTAGGTTTTAGTTTCTTTATTTGTCTGAGGACCATGTCACTAGTTACCGCAATCGTGCATAGTTTATTATCGTCCTGTTCTACACAATTTATCATTTCTGAAATTTCGCTAGTATCTTCCTGAGTAAAAACTGAGAGGAAGTAAGAATTGAAAATTTCACACATATCCTTATCACTGTCAGTGATCTGACCTGAGTTACTCTTAAGTGGGCCAATCTTGTCTCTAATCTTACTTCTGTATACCTGAAAGAACCCTTTTGAGTTAGTCTTCGAATCCCTTGCGACCTTATCCTCATAATCCCTTTTTGCTTTTCATATTCCTTTTTTTATTTCTCTCTTTAATTGAATGTATTGATTTCTTAACTGCCCATTTCCTCTTTTGATACGCCTAAAAATGCCTCCCTTTTGACCAGTGAGATGTTTTAATGTATTGTTCATTCATTTGGGATCATTTTTGTTAGATCTAATTTCCCTACTCGGAACAAAAGTTGTTTGGGCAGCTAGAACTATGCTCTGAAAAACGTCATATTGGCAACCAACACCACCTACCTGACCCATAGTCAGGACATCCCAATTTAGCCCACCCAGGTAATTTTTCAGTCCCATGAAATCAGCCAAGCGAAAGTCTGGGACAGAGACTTGACTGCAGTTTACCAGGTAATTCCATAATATATTGAACATAGCGACATATGTGTAAAATACCTACTATAACCTACAAAAAGTTCAAAGTGGTTGATTTCCCTTTTGGTCCTTGACAATATGTTAGGTAAAAGGACACAAGTGCAACTAATGTGACATTTTATTGTGGAAACGTTTCGCTCTCCAGGAACTTTATCAAGCTGTTACAGCTTATCATATATTAAATCATTCTAAAATAAAATTTTAATCTTTTTTAAAACTATCTGTATATACAAATTTTCACTGCATATACATATACATATACACGCGTTATGGCTAAGTTACCTGTTAACTGAGGGTAGGTATGTAATATGTCACAAACTGGAGACTCTTTGAAAAACCTACTGATATTTTCAAACTCAGTAACCTCTAAATACTCTAAATATCTTCAAATATGTTCTGGCAACATTTTTTTTTGTTGTTGTTGACCAGTGTATAGTCAATTTGATCACTCACCTGGGCAATAGAAGGATAGTCCTTCCTGGACGGTAGACTGATAGTCAATTTGTGTGATCACTCACCTGGGCAATAGAAGGATAGTCGTACTTATCAAAGTCCCCATACTCGTTAAGGCCGTTAAGGTGACATAGCTCGTCATTGGGAGCAACGATACCAGCCAGCTACAAAGCAAAAAAAGAATTATATATAAAAATGTTTAGAAATAATAATTATAATAGTAATAATAATAATAATAATAATAATAATAATAATAATAATAATATTATATTATTATTATTATTATTTATTATTATTATTATAATTTAATAATAATAATAATAATTATAATAAAACTAATTTAATAATAATAATAATAATAATAATAATAATAATAATAATAATAATAATAATAACCATTGTTGTTATTATGGGGAATTCTACAGTATTATGAGTACAAACAGTACAAACAAGTAGAGTTACACAGTTTATGTAACTGCATCTTACATAATATTGCGACGATTCAGTGAGGTTTAAACCAGTTTCTGACAAACCTCAATTTTTAGTTAAAATTTGCCACTTGAAAAATAATAATAATATGTAACAATAAAAACAACAACAGTAAAACACAAATAATCCACACAAAGGAGAGAGAAAAGCTTTTGAGGACGTTTCGGTCCGATTTGACTAGTGAATGGTTAAAGTCGGACCGAAACGTAGTCATAAACCTTTCTTTCTCCTACGTGTATTGTTCCGGTCACGGTATTGTACCTGTTTGTTCTTCAACAACAATAACATTAATAATAATAATGATGACTGGATCACCTACCACTGCCCAGCATGACCATCTTAATACTATCACCCAGTAAAACTAACAAAACAAATAGTGCCCTCACCAGCACTATCACCCAGTAAAACTATCAAAACACCTAGTGTCCTCACCAGCACTATCACCCAGCAAAATATCAAAACAAATAGTGCCCTCACCAGCACTATCACCCAGTAAAACTATCAAAACACCTAGTGTCCTCACCAGCACTATCACCCAGCAAAACTATCAAAACACCTAGTGTCCTCACCAGCACTATCACCCAGTAAAACTATCAAAACACCTAGTGTCCTCACCAGCACTATCACCCAGTAAAACTATCAGAACACCTAGTGTCCTTACCAGCACTATCACCCAGTAAAACTATCAAAACACCTAGTGTCCTCACAAGCACTATCACCCCGCAAAACTATCAAAACACCTAGTGTCCTCACCACCACTATCACCCAGTAAAACTATCAAAACACCTCGTGTCCTCACCAGCACTATCACCCAGTAAAACTATCAAAACACCTAGTGTCCTCACCCAGCACTATCACCCAGCAAAACTATCAAAACACCTAGTGTCCTCACAAGCACTATCACCCAGCAAAACTATCAAAACACCTAGTGTCTTCACCAGCACTATCACCCAGCAAAACTATCAAAACACCTAGTGTCTTCACCAGCACTATCACCCAGTAAAACTATCAAAACACCTAGTGTCTTCACCAGCACTATCACCCAGCAAAACTATCAAAACACCTAGTGTCTTCACCAGCACTATCACCCAGCAAAACTATCAAAACACCTAGTGTCTTCACCAGCACTATCACCCAGTAAAACTATCAAAACACCTAGTGTCTTCACCAGCACTATCACCCAGCAAAACTATCAAAACACCTAGTGTCTTCACCAGCACTATCACCCAGTAAAACTATCAAAACACCTAGTGTCCTCACCACCACTATCACCCAGTAAAACTATCAAAACACCTAGTGTCTTCACCAGCACTATCACCCAGTAAACTATCAAAACACCTAGTGTCTTCACCAGCACTATCACCCAGCAAAACTATCAAAACACCTAGTGTCTTCACCAGCACTATCACCCAGTAAAAAATATCAAAACACCTAGTGTCCTCACCACCACTATCACCAGTAAAACTATCAAAACACCTAGTGTCCTCACCAGCACTATCACCCAGCAAAACTATCAAAACACCTAGTGTCCTCACCAGCACTATCACCCAGCAAAACTATCAAAACACCTAGTGTCTTCACCAGCACTATCACCCAGCAAAACTATCAAAACACCTAGTGTCTTCACCAGCACTATCACCCAGTTAAAACTATCAGAACACCTAGTGTCTTCACCAGCACTTATCACCCAGCAAACTATCAAAACACCTAGTGTCTTCACCAGCACTATCACCCAGCAAAACTATCAAAACACCTAGTGTCTTCACCAGCACTATCACCCAGCCCAAAAATATCAAAACACCTAGTGTCCTCACCAGCACTATCACCCAGCAAAACTAACTCAAAACACCTAGTGTCTTCACCAGCACTATCACCCAGCAAAACTATCAAAACACCTAGTGTCTTCACCAGCAAATATCACCCAGCAAAACTATCAAAACACCTAGTGTCTTCACCAGCACTATCACCCAGCAAAACTATCAAAACACCTAGTGTCTTCACCAGCACTATCACCCAGCAAAACTATCAAAACACCTAGTGTCTTCACCACCACTATCACCCAGTAAAACTATCAAAACACCTAGTGTCCTCACCAGCACTATCACCCAGTAAAACTATCAAAACACCTAGTGTCCTCACCAGCACTATCACCCAGCAAAACTATCAAAACACCTAGTGTCCTCACCAGCACTATCACCCAGTAAAACTATCAAAACACCTAGTGTCCTCACCAGCACTATCACCCAGTAAAACTATCAGAACACCTAGTGTCCTCACCAGCACTATCACCCAGTAAAACTATCAGAACACCTAGTGTCCTCACCAGCACTATCTGAATACCATACCCACACATTCTTCGTCCCTCATGTTAAGTATAGAAATGCATTCTCTTCCTCACCCTACCTACACAAGAACAATCAACCATCGTAACGCCCTTACTATTTTCTAACTTGGCTATAATAATAATAATAATAATAATAATAATAATAATAATAATAATAATAATAATAATAATAATAATAATAATCTGTATTTCTACATGCTACAACGTATGTAGACGTAATTGCCATGCGACATAGAAAGCTCGTGGTTATGCAGAACATTTTCGGTAAATTAGGTTTTCTCCCCAGGATGCGACCCACACCAGTCGACTAACACCCAGGTACCTACTTACTACTAGGTGAGCAGGGACAGCACGTGTCTTAAGGAAATACACCCTAATGCTTTCACCCGTACCGGAGATCGAACCACAGACTTCAGAATGTGAGCTGAGTGTGCTACCAACCGAGCTATAGGGCACCATTCATCACACAAGCACCTATAATCCAGTTATAACACCAGAATATCTGCACGTCAAAATTATAGCTATTGCTTGAGCAACCAACCTTCCAGCGCAGCTACTGAGAAAATAAATGTATATTCAACAGTCTGGTATCCCCTGGTATAACTAACAAAACGCATACTCATTCACGTTATTTCTTGCCAAGCATATACTATTTCTAAGTATGATTTGAAGATTGAGACACATATGCAACATATGAGAATCTTTATTTCCTCCGCAATGAAGTTTCCCATATGTTGCATATGTGTCTCAATCTTCAAAGTGGCGGTTTTTTAAACCATTTACCACATACGTATGATTTGGAGACATTCTTTCACGGGGTATGGCACCAGAAGCATACTTTCTCTGAGTATGACACCAGAAGCATACTTTCTCTGAGTAGGACACCAGAAGCATGCTTTCTCTGAGTAGGACACCAGAAGCATGCTTTCTCTGAGTAGGACACCAGAAACATACTTTCTCTGAGTATGGCACCAGAAGCATACTTTCTCTGAGTATGACACCAGAAGCATACTTTCTCTGAGTAGGACACCAGAAGCATGCTTTCTCTGAGTAGGACACCAGAAGCATGCTTTCTCTGAGTAGGACACCAGAAGCATACTTTCTCTGACTAGGACACCAGAAGCATGCTTTCTCTGAGTAGGACACCAGAAGCATACTTTCTCTGAGTAGGACACCAGAAGCATACTTTCTCTGAGTAGGACACCAGAAGCATACTTTCTCTGAGTAGGACACCAGAAGCATACTTTCTCTGAGTAGGACACCAGAAGCATACTTTCTCTGAGTAGGACACCAGAAGCATACTTTCTCTGAGTAGGACGTCAGAAGCATACTTTCTCTGAGTAGGACACCAGAAGCATACTTTCTCTGAGTAGGACACCAGAAGCATACTTTCTCTGAGTATGACACCAGAAGCATACTTTCTCTGAGTATGACACCAGAAGCATACTTTCTCTGAGTATGACACCAGAAGCATACTTTCTCTGAGTATGACACCAGAAGCATACTTTCTCTGAGTAGGACACCAGAAGCATACTTTCTCTGAGTATGACACCAGAAGCATACTTTCTCTGAGTAGGACACCAGAAGCATACTTTCTCTGAGTAGGACACCAGAAGCATACTTTCTCTGAGTAGGACACCAGAAGCATACTTTCTCTGAGTATGACACCAGAAACATACTTTCTCTGAGTAGGACACCAGAAGCATACTTTCTCTGAGTAGGACACCAGAAGCATACTTTCTCTGAGTAGGACACCAGAAGCATACTTTCTCTGAGTAGGACACCAGAAGCATACTTTCTCTGAGTAGGACACCAAAAGCATACTTTCTCTGAGTAGGACACCAGAAGCATACTTTCTCTGAGTAGGACACCAGAAGCATACTTTCTCTGAGTAGGACACCAGAAGCATACTTTCTCTGAGTATGACACCCGAAGCATACTTTCTCTGAGTATGACACCAGAAGCATACTTTCTCTGAGTATGACACCAGAAGCATACTTTCTCTGAGTATGACACCAGAAGCATACTTTCTCTGAGTAGGACACCAGAAGCATACTTTCTCTAAGTATGACACCAGAAGCATACTTTCTCTGAGTAGGACACCAGAAGCATACTTTCTCTGAGTATGACACCAGAAGCATACTTTCTCTGAGTATGACACCAGAAGCATACTTTCTCTGAGTATGACACCAGAAGCATACTTTCTCTGAGTATGACACCAGAAGCATACTTTCTCTGAGTAGGACACCAGAAGCATACTTTCTCTGAGTAGGACACCAGAAGCATACTTTCTCTGAGTATGGCACCAGAAGCATACTTTCTCTGAGTAGG